GGGTCATTTCACAATTTCCATAGTGCCATTTACAAACTTCTGTCATTTACAAAATTTGACATACATAAATCCAGACACTGAAATCTTCAATCGCCAGAAATTGAAATGATGGAAATCTAAATTCCGTCATATTAGAATTCTATGTAATTTTCAATTCCTTCATCCAAACGAAGGGCTAGATTAATTAAAGGAATCAAACACCAATTCAAATGCCTTCTAAGTAAAAGAAAAGAAAACGTACAACAATAGAAAAAAAAACGATACAAACCTTTACTTTACTTTACGGGCATGCAGAACACCTATGAGGATCCCAAATCTTCCAGAAATTGCCCATAGCAAACATTGTAAAACCATGTGAGTGATGATATCCCACCACTGCAAATCTTTTGATATCCACTTCCCAAAGGAAAAACAAAAAAGAAGAGGAACAAAAAACTTATCAGAATAAAAATGGCGCAAGCTGAAAAAACAAATTGTATTACCATTTCAGTGCATTCCCCTACTGACTCTACGCAAATTTCTACCATTTAGTTTCTTCATCTACCTATCCACACAGTCAAAAGGCAAAAAAAAACCAAAGAAGCAGCTTTGACATGTCATGTAAGATTATTAAGACATCAACCCATATGTATAGTAAAAGAAAAAAAAACAGAGATTAGAATTCAATTTTTCCGTTTACTGCCTTTACTGAAATGTGTGACTCATCAGGAGAAGAAAGATCAGAGATGTTAGTAAAACCTCTGATAACCTTTAAAGGACCTTGGCATTTATGAAACAATCATCTTTTGATCGATTTTTTTCATTGCTGTTATAAATGTAACAGTTGTGTTCTTCACCACCCCATAAACCTTATATCTCAAACAATCCATATATAATAACTAAGAAGGGAAAATTGAGCTCACAACTAGGATAACTTCTTTTGTCACCAATAGCCTCGGCAGGAGCAGGATCCGTTCTTGAAATGATGAAAGCGACTTGAGTCCCTCAATATGATTTCATGCTCAACAATCTTGGATATGTAGGTAATCGCACTATGGCAATCTCCACAGACACGTAAGTTCTTGGTGATCCGGATAGGTGCGCCTGGTGGAGTAGTTAGGATTGCATAGGCCAAAGCCAACTTCTCACTATGCTCGAAAAGAAGGTCTCCTTTCTCTTCATCATCGACATCGTGAAGTGCATAGCTTGTCTCAGGGACATATCCAATGTCTTTGATCCGTTTAATCAAGTCAGCAAGGGTCTCATAAATTTCTTGAGACTGTGGATGAGTCCTATCACCCACAAAGAAGGTTGCATTGCCTTTCTTTCCTTGCACCCAACTGCAACCGGGCTTCTTCTTGATGCCCGTATGTTTCATTAACAATCTGATTCTGGCCACATCTTTCCAACGCCTGGCATTGGCATATATGTTTGAAAGCAATGTACATGAACTATCATTCTCTGACTCCGTCTCTGATAACTGATGTGCAACATATTCACCAAGTTCAACATTCCCATGGGTCCTGCAAGCACTGAGCAAGGCCACCCATGTAATTGGTGTTGGTTGCATAGGCATGCCTTTGATCAGCGCCAATGCGGCATCCAAGCGACCAGCACGACCCAAGATGTCAACCATGCAAGCATAGTGTTCTGCCCCAGGAACAACCCCAAAATCCGTGCTCATGCTGTTAAAGTACCTCATTCCTTCATCAACCATTCCAGAATGGCTGCAAGCATAGAGGACAACAACAAAGGTTACACCATCAGGCACCAGCCCCACTCTCCTCATCTCATCAAAAACTTGCAGGGCTTCTTCACCGCGACCATGCATTCCATAACCTGTCATTAGTGAAGTCCAAGAAACAGCATTCCTTTGTTGCATGTAGTCGAACACAACTCTAGCAGCATCAATGTCTCCAGATTTGGAATACATATCAACAAGGCAATTGGCCACAAACAGCTTCACAAAATCATACTGATTGCGTAGTACAAAAGCATGAATTTGCTTACCAAACCTCAGGGCACCCAGACGAGCACAAGCCATCAGGGCACAAGATATAGTAAAAGCGTTTGGCTTTAGGGGAAAATCCTGTCTGAGCATCTGGTAGAAGAGTTCTAGTGCCTCATTAGCTTCCCCATGTTGGGCATATCCACCAATCAACACAGTCCAAGTCACCACATTCCTTTTCTTTGGTGCAACAGAATCAAACATCATTCGTCCAACTTTGGGACTCTTGCATTTAGTATACATGTCAATCAGACCGTTGATTACCATTATATCATTTCCAGGGTCATTTCTGTCTAGGTTCAGGATCCATTTTATTGCATAACAATGAGTTTCCCTTCCATGAATCAGTGCTCCAGCAGAGGCACACCCTGAAAGAAGAGATATGAGGGTAACAGCATTTGGCTCAGAGCCACACGCCTGCATTTGCCGAAACACATCCAGCGCTCCATAACCGTGTCCCCTCTGAGCATACCCTGCAATCACAGCACTCCAAGTGACAACATTCAACTCAATCTTCTCCTCCCTCATCTTCTCAAAAAAACCAATAGCATCATCAAGTCTACCAATCTGAGAATACCCAGTAACCATGGCATTCCAAGAAACCACATCCTTTTCTTCCATCATCTCAAATACCTTGTTTGCCTCATCCATCATCTCACACTTAGCATACATATCAACAACGGCATTACCCACAAACACATCTTCAAATAATCCTCTCCTAATAGCATAACTGTGAATCTGCTTACCCCACATTGGTGCCCCAGCCGAAGCACAAGCAGGAAGAACATTAACTAAGCTAAAAGCATCTGGGCGTACACTAAAATCGCCCATCATCCGATCAAACATTGAGAGTGCATTCTTCGAATCTCCACTCTGAACATAAGCTGACACAATTGAATTCCAGGACACAACATCCCCTATTCCTCTCTCAAACAA